AGAAACATTTCTACTGCGTGACAAAGCTCGTATTCATAAAATCTAAATTTGGGGCCTGATTTGAGTGTAGTTGTCAGGGCCGGGTCATGGACAGTTTGTGGGCACAAAGTGAGCTGCTCAGTATCAGACCCAAGGTCAGAGATCAATTCAGGGCCACAGCAGATCAAACTGCAAAGTCAGAGTCCATTACCAAACTGCGAGCATGGAATGAGAATCAGGGTGAGGCTGGGCCAGGGTTCTTCACTGGGGTGGATCAGTAATGGTTAGGGTCACCAGATAGCAACTGTGAAAAAATGGGACGGGGTTGGGGGGTAATAGGCGCCTATATAAGAAAAAGTCCCAAAAAACGGGACTGTCCCTTTAAAAACGGGACATGTGGTCACCCTAGTAATGGTCCTAAGCCAAAGTCGGTAAACCAAGATCAGGGTCAGGAGCTGAGCCAAAGTCAAGAGCCAGGATCAAGGTGAGTCACAGCAAGGATTGGTGAGGAAGGTTCTAGGGCAGAAGCACACACCAAAGATCTGCTTTGCTCAAAAAACTCCCAGAAATGGCTTCCTGGTTTATATAGGGAGTGCCACCCAATCAGGGAATTGCAGAGGGCTGCCATTCATGCCTCTTAGGGTGGGACTTCCTGCAGTACTTCTTGGTGACAGCCCTGACTGGGTTCCTGGTTGCAACAAGGATGTAGTGCCTGCCGGGAACCCCACACACCCTGGTTCTAGACCTCAGGGTTCTTATAGCAATGTTCCTTTAAAATATATTGGTTTTCATTGACTATAGACAAGTTAGCAATCCTCTTGTCCCAGTGGTAACTTTATCTTGGGCCGCATTTGTAATGATTTTTTCACCCTGAGTCTGCTTTGTCTTTACACTGCCATGGAAATCCACTGATTGCCCAGGAAGTTTTCTTCATTTGGTGCAAAAGCAGAATTAGGTCCACGGCTTGCAAAATGATCATCATTCCAAAAGCCATTTAAAATGAAAAGTCATCAGCCAAATGTTTCTGATACATTATATTTAAATCACTTAATACATATCTATTTACCAAATACAGTAATGGATAGGGAAGGGAGCAGCCATTAGCAGAAACAGGGACACAAAACTGTCAATTCAAAACCCTTCACAGAAGGAGCAGTCAATGTGTTCACAATTTTATCAATCTAAAGCGGAGAAGTACAGCGATTCGGAATCACGTCAAGCCTTGTACGTCTGAAGCACAAATATTTTGGAAGCTCGTTTTATCAATTAGTTTAGTTAGCAGAACCTTGTACATTTCTTGACCTGTGAATTTAAAAACGTTCTCATTTCCTGCATGTCAGGATAGAGCCAGATAAATACGAATTACTCACAATATCTATGTTATTTTATGAAACTGCACTGGTAGGTTAAAAATGAACTGATCACAAGTACTTGAAAAGAAAAGAAGGCAAAAAAAAAAAAGTACTATTGCATTCAGTTTTAGATTTACAGTCTGCGGGCCTAATTCTATCTAATTTACACTGGTTTTACATTGAATACATTCATTAGGGTGACCAGAAGTCCCGATTTTATAGGGACAGTCCCAATATTTGGGTCTTTTTCTTACAGAGGCTCCTATTGTCCCCCACCCCCCGTCCCGATTTTTCACACTTGCTGTCTGGTCACCCTAACATTCATTCACTGCGATGGAGTTACACTCCTAACCAACACCCTGAATCTACAAGGGTCTGGATTTCGGTGGGGCTCAGCATGGGTGAGAAGAGCCCTGTGGCTAGTATGGCAGATGCCCGCCTTGTCCTATTGCACACCTAAGATGGCACCGTGCAGGCTCTTGCTTTGCTCATATCAGAGGTCAGGAGGCACGCTGGGCCAAATTCTCTGCTGGTTTTGAAATGGTGGAACTTCACTGAGGTCAATGGAGCTATGTTAATTTACACCAACAGCGGAGCTGGCCCTAAGTTGTGAAAAAAACAAAAGTAAAACAAAAGCAGTCGTGTAAACTTTACACTGTAAAGGGTCATACCGACTTTTTTTCATTTGTCCCAAAACTGCCTCTGCTTGATTTTTAAATAAAACGCACATACTGTGTAATAACTGTACAAACACCTATAAAAATGTAGATGTCTCCTTTTAAGGCAGATAATCACATAATTTGAGTAGAAGGATACATTAAAAATATCAGAGAGGACAAATCGTGCAATCTTCACTTAAGCAAAACTCCCGCTGAAGGCAATGGGACAGAAGAAGGGCTGTAAGATTACGGCCTAAAACTTGAAATTAATTTTAAAAATATGCCTGGATCCTAATATGACAAAGGAAATGTACAGATATATTGATCCTTCTCTGGTGCCAGTCCCCACCAGAACTCTCATCACCTTCACTGGGGTCATTCCCCAGCAGCGCTTCTGGGATAGGTCCCAGGAGTTTACCCAAATTCCTGTTATAGTTTATGAATCCCTCCCATTTCTAATTGCTCTTACATTTCATCTTGCTGCCCGAGCCACCATGCTTCTGAGGTTTAGTCTATACTAGAAAAGGTTTGCTGGCATAGTTATGCCAGTATAGCTATACTGACAAACCTCCTAGTGTGGGCCCAGCTTCTACCGGCAAAAATATGCTTTTGCCGGTTTACCAGCATCTACACTAGGGCTTTTGCTGGTATAAAAATGTCATTTAAAAAAAAAATCACACCCCCTAGTCGACATTATTGTATGGGCAAAAGTTTTTAGTGTAGACCTGGCCTAAGCTAAAATGTTGCTGGACTCCCTTCCAAGGCTGTCTGTGCTGCTTGCTCAAAGGCCAGAGAGGACGCCGAGTGACAAAAGGCACCTCCTTCCCTTGGGACGGATCCTGTAGTCATGTCAGCCAATGGCAAGCCTCTTTCATTGAAGACAGGATTAGACCTTAGGGGTATGTCGACGTTGCAGCTAGGAACTAGCCTCCCAACCTGGGCAGACAGACTCATTCTAGCAGGACTTGAGCTAGCATGCTAAAAATAGCAGCATGAACTTTGTGGCATGGGCTGTCAAGCCTAGGGGGACTTGAGAACCCATCCTGAGCTGCAACGTCCACAGCTTAGCTTGAGCCCACTAGCGTGAGTCTGTCTGCCGGTTTGGGAGCTTCACTCCCAGCTGCAGTGTAGACATATCTTAAGTGTGCTGCTCTTGCGCACGCTCAGCGTCAGCTGGTTTGGGGAGTACAAGCCCAGAAGCTGAGCCAAAAGCCCGGGATCTCCTGCATAGCAATGGGTGGCTTTTTTGGTACAAATTATTTTAATAATCAAGTGCTTCGATTACGTAAATCTTATTTTTCATGGGGTTTTTTTTACCGTGCATAATTTTCTATGCTAAAAAGTAAGTCCAATCCTGCAGCTATACAACAAAATATATATAAAAATATCCCGTTCTTTAAAAATATATACAGGCATGGTAAGAAGTGACGTTGAATCCTCGTACTGGCACCTGCTTAGGAATAGCCACCATAAATCTTCCATCCAGGTTGAATCATGAAATATAAAATCTGAGTCTGGAGGAGATTTTTTCTCTTTTTTTTTTTTTTTTACTATTTTTTAAAAATAAAAGCCACAAAAACAGTTCACATATTTCAGGAACTACTATCACTATCACTGCTTACAGTACCGTACATTTGCAAACGATTACGCCATGATTTGCTTTGGGTATTCAAAGTAAAAGTAAAACCGGCAGGGTATTAAGGACTAAAGAGTGGTGACTGTTTATGTGCAGAGACCAGGTGTTAAACATCACCCTTGCTGTGGCCTCAAAGCATGTGAAAGAAAAGTCTAATTAACGGCCATTCACAAAAGACACCAACTTCTGTGTAGGCTGTGAATATGTATGAAGAATGATGTGAGGGCACATATTGCACTGTAAAGGCTACAGAGCAGAATACTTCCTCTTGTGACTACTCGTAGGCCCGTGTACTGTAATGTACCTTGATACTGCAAGTTGTTCTGCATTTGTGAACCCTGGACTCGTAGTGTGAATCTTCACGGGAATCAATGGAACTATTCATGGACGTAGGTGCCCATTCATACTGAGCAGCTTGCAGAGTCGGGGCCTAAGAGTGTAAGAGGATTCCAGAATCGTGGCAACATTTGAATGACTCCATTGAAAAATATTGGATTTCAAGATACATCAATTCCCCAGAGTATGGGGAATGGCAAAGTTTTGTCTTGGCTTTTTTCTTCTTCTTAATATTTTTTTCTTTTCCCTCCATCCATAAAGGAAAATAAAATAAAGGTGTTCCGTTAACGTCAAGAGTCTGGCAACCAACAAAATCAGGGAAATTCAAAATGAAGAATTTCTTAACCTATCCTTTCACACGAAGCAGAATTCACTCCTGTGCAGAGAGCCAGGGCAATGCCTATACATTACTTTAATTCTATTTAAGCCTTATTTAAAGGGCTGCATAGATCCTGTGCTAACTCTATGTGCAAGGGTGAATCCACCCTCTGTTTTCAGGCAGTGGCAAGATCTTCAAGTAATGAGGTATTTTATATGTTGCAAATGCTGCAAAGCCAATGTATAGTACAAAGGGGGTGGATTAAGAATGGTGTTTCAATACTAATTCAAAATTCCTGGGCTGTATGGGTTGACATCAGACCCCTAACATCATCTGAGATGGGCAAACGCCTCATGGCTTGGGTTTTGCATGTCAGCTGCATTGCAGTTTTGGAAAGACAATCCGGGGTACAAGCTGGGGCACGTTACCTATGAAGCCACAAAGTTTCAATACCACTTCAAAGAGGTGCTGTAAGGATTCAGTAATGATCATGAGATGCTCAGGTACTACGGTGATAGGAGCCATATGAGCATCTAGACAGATAGAAGATGATAGGAGCATTATATGCTTCTTTAGGTTTCGTTGTAGGTCTGGTGTGAATGAATATGCTGTTCTGGTTTGGGCCTCTTTCAACTATGACTCTATACTTGTGTGGTTTAATGGTAATATGTGGCAGGCTACAATCATTTCATATTGGCAGTTTTGTTCCTTGTTCAAACTAAAAATGGCCAACAGTTTTTTGCGTGAAATTAAAAGCCTTAGGCTAGTGTTAAAAGCAAAAGTATTTTGATGTTTTAGTTTCCTAGCTTTGCAGTGGTTACCTGATAGCATATTTCTCTAGCACAGGAGTTGGCAGGTCAGCCCTGTGTCCCATTTTAAACAACAAATATGATTTTAAATAACAATGCCCAACAAATCTTGAGGGAACCTAGGTATCTGCAGTGCACTACACAAAATCACAGCACCTATAAACACATTGCAGTTTACTTCATAAAAGCTGTGCATGCACTATTGACAGATTAAATAGACCACTGGTTCACCGAGTATAAGGAATGGTTGTAAGTCCTGTCCATAGCACTAATTAATTGCATCTATGAAATATGAGCATGAAGTAACACAAAACATAGCAACTAGCTAGGACTTGGGCTGCCCTTGAGGCATGTTAGTGTTTGTTACTTATTAATGTCATGTAGTGTTGGAAAATGACTCTATGCCTAATTACATTTCTTAAAATATATAGAGCAATCAGCTTAAATGTAAGATATGCCCAAAACACAGTTGGCACATATCTTTCAAAAGGGTGTCATGATTTTTTTTATAAACTAATGAATGCATGTTGGAAGCCTGTCAAACGTCTTTTTTTTTTAAAGGACAAATTTAGTTATACTCATTGGAATTTTTTAGCAAAGAGAAAAATAGCAATGAAAGTTCGTAAGCCTTATGTATAAGGAATAGTGAGGGCTTTTACTGGACCACAGATTATGGGCCACATTTGGCCCTTGCTTGGTGAATGGCACTCCCACGGAATCAGTTAACATTCTGCATTCAGAGATGGGGGTCTCAGCTTCTCACTCTCTCCAGATAGGAACCCAGCGTTCTGAGTTTCTTATTAATTGTGCCACTTGTATTAGTAAATGGAAAGCAAAAAGATTGACCATGTTGAGTGAGTTTATCAGTCCCTCGGATGACATGGAGTCACATTTCTGCATTGCAGAGACTGTTCAAAACCATGTCTTCCCATTACTGGAGCTGGTCCCAGAGACAAGTTCAGTGCTATCTCCCCACTAGCCTCTGGAGGGTGATCGAACTCAGTATGAGTGACTTTGATCAACCTTGAACATCGTCAGCTCAAAATTTCAACTCTGACTCAACTGTTACTAGGTTCTTGTTCCTTATAGGTGAAACAGTGGAAAAGAAAGCAGGGGAAAGCTCTAAGAATTTAATGCAGTGTATACCCACAGCTCTGTGATCCAAACAGAGGACCCAGCTTTGCCAACCTAGCTTTTGGGATTCTCGTCTCCCTAATACATAGCAGCAGGATTTCCTTCAGCTAGAAAAATGTAGGGTTAAAAAGTTGATTCTCCCTTGGGGAAAAAATGATAGTTTAGATAGTAAGAAAAAGAGTTGCTGAACTCAAACAAGTTCTGCAAACCCTGAAAAAACAGAATTCAAGAGATTCCCATCACCTCAATCTCCATTAGGGATTGCCCCTCATGGAGATCTACACAGTGCCATGCTGAGCATGAGGAATGTTGATTGCTGTAGTTGTAGTAAAAAAACCAATGTTTTCCCCTGGGGCCAGGAGACAAGACAGCACCACTGATTCTGACATAAGAGTGTTAGTCCTTTGCCATATATGCAATGTAACATCTAAGCTCGATAGGCAATGATCATAGGAACACCTGAGTTGGCCTCAGGCAACATTTCCCAACCATTATGGAGGTGTAAGCAGTGAGGGAATACTTGAGGGGATACAAAACAGAGACGATGAAGAGGGTAACTCCAGCTAGGTAATAAACTGCAAGCACATAAAGATTTAGAAAGCACAAACAGCCTACAACTCCTGGGTATCACAATCACTGTACATGTATGATCATGCTGGCAGTAGTAATATACATTATGATTTGTCTCCCTTCATAGGAGTGGCCTGCATCTTTAAGGTGCTTAGAATATGTCTGTAAAGAAGTATTGTTCTTTTCAATTAATAGAACTTGTCAATGATCATAAGTGCCAAATTTTCTTTCCCTCCCCATAACAGTGTCATTTTGTCTGAAGCTGTTCCACCAAAATCCTTAAGAAAGGCACATTAGTTTGATGGAGACCTTTTCGGTGGCTACCTTGGCAATACAAAGCTTCCTGAAATCATCAGGTATGCAAACTGTCTCCAAGAAACCAGACTTTAAATTCTAAAGCAGTCTAAATCATCCTAAGTCCAAACTTCCATGGGCACCATGGATTCTTTTGTTCCAACAGAAGGCAGTAAGTTTTCTTCATCCAGGAAACGAAAGGGGAATTGCACTAGAAATCCATGAATCTTCTTTAATTCTTCTGCTGCTTTTGCAGCATCTTGGGTTACCAATTTTGACTTGGCAATGAAGTCACGCAGCTGGGCTAAATTAGTCACCTCATCACTGGGAAGGCATCGGAACACCTGATTTGAAATAGAAAGAGGAGGTTGCACATAAGCATACAGGAAAATATCACGACTTGCATTCCACAGTGGAAACTGATGCTACTGTAAACACCTTCATATATATTTAAGTGAATTGGCTAATGGAGCCTGGGGAGCTTAACAATTTGTACACCCGCCTTTATGAGAAAATCTGTACAGCAATCGCAAAAGACCGGAGTTTGCAAATTAGGATTCTGGGGACTTTTCCTGATCCCTACAGGAGATTATCCAAAATTAGCAATAGTTAGTTTGCTTTATCAGTGAGCCTTGCTTTGCATACGGGCAAATAGATGATTCTTTCTTACAGGACCCAATTCTCTCCTAACACATGCTGATGTAAATCAAGAGCTCCAGAAATTGGAACTACAATACTCTGCAAAATCAGTATATAAATGCGAGGACAATCAGAGTTGCTACCTTGCTTGTCTGCCAACAGTATTTAAGGGTCCAAAAAGTTATGCCAAAAGAAAACCCTTCATCTGATGTGGCCTTTTGCTGTGCAATTTCAGTATTCAAAATATCTTGATGAGATCTAGAGATTGAACCCTCCCGCCCCACCAGTCTCTCTCCCACAAAACCAAAATGTTGCTTCTCTCCTTTACATCCATCAACAGTGAGCCTGTTGGAAGCAAAAAGAGAAAACGAGCCAGGTACTTCACCTTATCAAAAATAGTGGCATTGCGGGCAGCTGTTGAGACCCACACCTCCTTGAAGAATCTGTCAGAGACTGGATCCTGAAGATCAGCACTGAGGTCTGCTGAACCACCAAGAACAACCCTGAAAAGGGGGGGGGGAGAGAAGAACTGATGTCATTGGAAGGTAACACAGAACCCTCCAGAGAATTTTCATAAACAGGAATGTGATCCTTGTAATCAGCTTCTTTCTTCTGGAGGAAAACAAAACCAGCAGGTAACAAAACCAGTCATGTGCAGTTATTGAGTTAAGTGACCCTAGAAAACCATCCAAAACCGAAAACTCATAAAGGACCCATGTTGTTATTTTTTATTCTTATTATTATTTGCATTGCAGCCCCATTGTGCTAGGCATTGCACAAACATATACCAAAAAAGATGGGGATATTGTTTATCAGAGTGTGAGAAACCTTCTGCAAAATCAACCACAGGTTTTCCAGAAGGTAATAATGGAAGGGGACTGAAGTCATCAGTTCAGAATACCAGTCAGTCCCACCAATGGGAGCCGAGAATGTACATCTCCCAAGAGAGGTTCAGCATCTTGCAAAATCAGGTTGTCAGTAGCGGAGCCCTGTGTTCACGTTCCCCTGCTCTAACCACTAGGCACATTCCCTCTTCGATGTGAACCCAACAACTCACTCCTGAAGAAAGAAAGAAAGAAAAGGGTTCCCTTAGATAATGTCCTCAATACTTAATAGATGGTGCTGCGCGCACTGAGACTTCCTTGTCTGCTGCTATTTCCTACACAGAATAGTCTGTCAGCCTTAGCACTGCCTTATCTTCTCCTCCTTTATGTTTAAAAACCATCCAGATGGAAAATGGGGGGGAAAAGTGTTCTAATGAGAAAATAGCTGTGCTGCTGCCAGATGGCTTCTCTGACTGAACAAATTCCCAGTACAAAAAAAAAAAAAGACACCACCACCTAAAACTGATACAGTGCAGTGGCAGTATTTGTTCCTTAGCAAAGTTCCATTGTCTTCTGTGCACGTTCCCCCTACTGAAGGGGTCAAGGAAAAATTTAACCAAAACAGACTCCCAAGATTTGTAATCCAAATAGTCATTGGGGGAGGGGGGGGGAGGAAGGAATGGGACACTGCATGGGAAATCTAGGCAACCACAAAACTCTCTGGGCTAAACTCAGTCCATGTGTTAGTGGGTGTAGGTTCATTGATTTTACAGGAGTTAAACCCACTCATATCTTTAATCCCGGGCATATCCTTTATGGACAACTGCACAGATGCTCCCTTTTCAAAATCAATGAGGAATGCAATCCCTGCAAGGCAGCAGGACTGCATCTTCCTGCACAAGTACAAAATACTAATTACCACAACCTGCTGGGAAAAGACCTCAGTGGGTAAGATCTTCCTGGCACCCAAGAATTTAGCATGAGATTTTCATGCACCGTAATTAGTTTCTAGCACTCATACCTAAAACACCGGAGGCGGAGTGACTGAGCAAATCTTCCGGCTTTGTAGTCCTTTCCATCCATCACTGAAGGGACGGTTTCGGTGTCTTGCACAATGATAGCCATTTCACTGTCGCGTTTTCCCAGCATGCTGCGGTCATTGATGTTAGCAGAGCCTTTCAAGGGAAACAAAGAAACTATAACATCACAAACAATACATACCGATTCCCCAAGGAATGCGACCACCACAAAGGTGATAGGCCTGTTTACCACCAGCGGGACGTGGACCCAGATCCTCAAAGCTATGGGAGCTAGGCACCAAATAACTTTAAGAACGGGGTCTTGCCAGCTTCTCCTTTGCAGGGCCCCAGCGTTCACAGTATGCCCTGAGACTAGGTAGAAAGACACACCACTCTTGTGTGTAAAGGAGAGTTTCAATGAGTAGCTCTCCTCCAACCTCACACTCTTCTGTGTATATCCTACCACCATCATTTTACTGTCGACCACCCTCTACCATCCCACTGTGTGGTTCCTTGCCTGTGCATATGACAAGTTCAGCTGCCTGGACTTAGCCGACCTGAACTCAATTGTCCTCAGTCTCTTCCAATGGAAGTGATAAAACACTACGGGAGTTCATAGGTTAAAAATCTTCTCCTTTGTCAGTAGGTGGTAGAGAGGAGGCTGAATTACCTTTGCCACTTGTTGGAACTGGAGAAGATCAATGTAAATGCCATGTGAACATTATCCATTTTATTCTCGTTAGCAAAACAATTTAGGTTGCTAAGGATGGAGAGTCTCGAGATGAAGATTTGTTAGAACAGACCCTCCATCAAAGCCACTTCTGATTTAAAGAGCCACAAAAGAGCCAAGATCAGTATGTGGGGGGGGGGGGGGAAATCTCCACATTCTCCATAAACTCCAGGGCATGAAAGAAGGTTAAACAATTTTGAATCCAACACAAAAGGTTTTAAAGCTTAATTTCTCAGTAGCCTCCAGCTATTTTTGCAGAGCGATACCATGGCATGCAAGGGCAAGGGTCAGAGTTTAATTTGGTCTTTATTTAATATGTTTAATGACACAAGCCGGCTTCTTTGTTTGAAGTCATTCTATGGATTTTCTTTGCTTCATTTATTTCATAACAAAAGAACGGAAAATTTTTTACTTGGATTTGTGCCCTAAGCCCAGGCAGAATCAGTGTTAAAGTAAGTTGCACAGCAGAGCCCACTTACGCAGCATTAGTGTTTCTTCTAAAATAAACAACAGAAAAAGAAAACACCTTCAGGATATTTTTGGGGGGGGAGCGGGGTTAAGAAAGAAGGAAATCATTTCTGAGTCATACTGCACTGAGGGAGGTGGAGAACTCCAGTTTCTAGCAACTGGTAAGTAAGGCTTCCAAAACTCCCAGGGGCCAAATTTTCATTTCTATGTATGGAGAGCCATGTGTGCCAGTTCCCAAGTATTGCCAATACAATGAAAATGTACCCTCCAGGGACGTAGAGGCCATTCTAACCAACAGGGACATTTGTTCTTTTTCTATTCTTTGCTGTGCTGTTGAGGTAGCATTAGAACATATTGTGCAAAATGTAAAGAGCCAAAATATCAGACAATTCTTTCAGAACATATGCACACGTCCTAATATATAATTATAACTTTTCCCCTCTCCTTAAAAATGTTTTGAGTGCAGTTATGGCAGTTTAAAGGTGCCAGAGTGACGGCACTGGAGAATAAGGTTATTTGGCCATATAACAACAATGGAGATGGGTAGTAGAAACTTCTTCCCGGTACTTGGCTACTGTGCTTCATTCTGTTCTCCAGAGATCATCTACAAGACTGGCAGGTTCTCTATGGCCATCCAGTCTTTAGTCACTCTTTCCAGGTGCCAATTAATTCAGATTCTGATTGTGGTCTTTATGGTGGGGACACACACATGCTAAGAACTGGGCTCAGACAACCAGCTCATTCAACACAGATCAGCTAACTGCCAGCGCAGCCAAGAATCATTCTAATGCCTTAGCTATTTCCAACGGGTGTTTGTGTCAGGATCCTGTTACAGTCAGGGAGAAACTGGCAACTATCCCTAAGCAAGCCTCTGACTTTGTGTGCCCATTCCTGCATCTCCCACTGACTGAACATCCAAAAGTGAGTGCACAATCGCTCTGCATATATAAAATGGACAATGCACATAGGCACTTTGCTTAGTTGCCCGCCCAATGCTTGCAGAAAAACTTAACTCCAAAGGAGCTTAACCTGTACTGCACAGAGATCAGGAAAAACAAAACATGGCACAGAAAAGCAGGCAAGGGTTTGTTCTGGGGGAAGGAGCAGCAAGAGACTACAATGGCTGGGATTTAGCAAATTAACATATACCCACAAAACACTCCAGGCAAAGCAAAAACCCTGCAACAAACGGGTTCCTATAGAAAGAAACCCAGATGCTTTAGTAATCCCAGTGACTGAATATACTGACGACCGCTTTATCAGGAGTTGCTAGTGAGAAGTGGAAAAATAAAATCAACCCCCTTAAAATACTCACACTCCTCCACAGTGCAGCTGAACTAAGAATTTATTCCCATGTGCTTCAATCACTCAGGGCTTCAGTCACATGGAATTCTTTTCTTTTGGGGGACGGGGAGGAATTAACCAAATTAATTGACGTTTAAATCAACTAATCAGCAGGAAATTTAAGGTAGGACAAATTTGTGCCTCACCGGCTTGTAAACATCTGTGTCACTGCTCTCCTACTGCAGCTGCAGAACCAGGGCCTTGCTTTTTCCACTAGAATGTTGGCACTTCAGTAGGAATGTGTCAGGTGCATGGGGCAGCACGGGAGGATGTATTTAGCTCCACAGCTGGTACATTGAGCCCAAGCCTCTTGGGGGTATGTCTACACTGTAAAAAGACCTGCGGCAGCGAGTCTCAGAGCCCGGGTCAACTGACTTGGGCTCACACTACAAGGCTAAAAATAGCAGTGTAGACATTCGTGGAGCCCAAGCTCTGAAACCCAGCCAGGGGGTTGGTGTCAGAGCCCTGGCTCCAGTCCAAGCCTGAACATTAACGTTGCTATTTTTAGCCCCAGAGTGAGAGCCTCCTCAAACATAAATCAGTTGACCTGGGCTTTGAGATTTGCTGCCGTGGGTCTTTTTATTTTTTTTCGGCAGGGTAGACATACCCTGGGATGACAGCAAAATGTACAGATAGCACATCACCATGCCTGCCTGGATTTAGGTGGATGCACCATAGAATTAGTCCTGTATTTATGATCATCAATAGTAAAACTATTGTGGCTGTTCTTCATACTAGAGACGTGAGAAGACTATCAAAAGGACAACTATACGTAGCAAAACCCTCCCGATCCAAACTTCAACCTATCTAAGGCTGTATGCTATCAGGATTGTCTCTGAGGAGGAGGACAGTATCATTCTGCTTCTTACAAGACCTAATATTATGATGCTCATGGGCAAAGCCTTCGTACTGCTACAACAGGCTGAAAAGGGCTCTCTTAAAGAAATAGTAGTAACTCTGGGTCAAATTCTTCTCTTGTATTCTGTGGTATAAATCAGAGCTGAATTTGGCCGTATGTTGTTATTTTATGGCCTTATAATAAATATACAATAACAGAGAGACAGATGAACAGCATCTATGACTTGTTATAACATATTTTCCTAATGGTCACATGTTCCCCAAGTCTTCCAAATTTCACAGCACATTCTGTTCTTTAAGGAACAGATGACAACTCTTGCAATTTAGTGGCTAAAGCTGAGTTTGAGGAAAACAAATGGACAGAATTCCCTGCGGTGGGACAAGTTTAACCACCAGGGGGAATTTCAAAGCCACATTTCTTTATCAATTAATCAATACACTTTAGAAGCCTTCCTCCATCTCGCTTCCCCCATTAACTCGTAATTACTTTACATTTAAATTCAATATACAACACAGGGAATGGGTTAGCAGGTAAAATGGAAGAGAGCACAGCAAGTAGTGATAGCCATGTGCACTTTGTACAGGGCAGAGAAATCTAACGGGATTTTTCAGTCAGGATAGTCAAATGGTACAAATTTCCCCTGCAATTGAGGGATAGCTCAGTGGTTTGAGCATTGGCCTGCTAAACCCAGGGTTTGCAGGGATATTAAAGAAGGTACTAACAGTGATTCCCCCAAGTGACAGTGACCCCCTCATAATTTGTCCCCCACACTTTAAAATCCAACAGTTTCACCAAGTACAAAAATCTCTTGTGTCTTCTGTTAAAACTTGTAAGCTACTGTCTGTAGAAACCATTGATTGTATTTATCCTGTGAAAGATACTTTATTACTATGTAAAACTTACAAACAAGTTAATTGACTTTGTTCTTGAAGTAATTGATACAATGTAAACAAACACTATAAGCCGTTAAGTGACTTTCACTTCATTCAACGGCTCCTAGGACAGACCACCACCCTCTGTGATTAAAGGCCGGGAGTCTCAAATGAATTAGCACACACCCCAAAAGTGGTGGAGACAGTAAATTAAAATATGGTTAAGATATGGAATGTATGCTGATGAATGCTTGATATACATGAATGGTTAGGGAGGTGCCAGCCTAGAAAGGGAGTATCCATCGGCCGAAGAATGTGTCAAGTGGATGACCAGACAATCCCCGGAGGGTAAACTGGGATCCACTCCATCACCTGGAAGGATGAGAAACACAAACTTTGGACAGTTTGGAGCCACCAGGAATGTGTCCAGGAATGTGCCATCTGCTGATTGAGTCAGCAACAGCAGAATGAAACAGCTCCCA